GCGAGTAATGAGTGCAGGCCTCCAAGTTGATACTGTTTTAGGACGAAAAACCGGAAATTTGAAAGATATTTATACTTTAGGAAGGAAATTAGGACAAGGCCAATTTGGGACAACCTTTTTGTGTGTCGACAAAGCTCAACAAAAAGAATTTGCATGTAAATCAATTGCTAAAAGAAAGTTGACAACTGAAGAAGATGTCGAGGATGTACGGAGGGAAATTCAGATAATGCATCACTTGGCAGGCCACCCTAGTGTTGTACAGATTGTTGGGGCTTATGAGGATGCTGTTGCTGTTCATGTTGTAATGGAGCTTTGTGCTGGTGGTGAACTTTTCGATAGGATTATAAAGAGAGGCCATTATTCTGAGAAGAAGGCTGCTGAACTTGCAAGAGTAATAGTAGGTGTTGTAGAAGCATGTCATTCACTCGGTGTTATGCATAGGGACCTCAAACCTGAGAACTTCCTTTTTGTCAATGAGAAAGAGGAGTCCTCATTGAAGACCATCGACTTTGGCTTATCTGTCTTCTTTAGACCAGGTACATTTACATATAATTGTTCATCTCTGCAACATTAATCATTGATTTGTTAGATACATAAGTAGAGCTTTAGTTAAGGATCTTTTGCATCCAGGTGAAACATTCACCGATGTGGTTGGAAGCCCTTACTATGTAGCACCAGAAGTACTGCGCAAGCGTTATGGTCCAGAATGTGATATTTGGAGTGCTGGAGTAATAACTTATATACTTCTTAGCGGTGTGCCTCCATTTTGGGATGGTGAGATTTTATTTCTATAATTCTAAGCTACCATGATATTGACCATGATGCCTAATATACATTGATGTTTTTCTATCAGAAACGGAGCAAGGAATATTTGAACAGATTGTAAAAGGGGAACTTGACTTAGTATCCGAACCTTGGCCAGCTATATCAGAAAGTGCCAAAGATCTAGTCAGAAAAATGCTTGTGAGAGATCCCAAAAAGCGGTTGACAGCTCACGAAGTTCTCTGTAATATCTAAGTCCAATCCTTTATTCTCTTGACATACTTTTCTATTTTTGAGTATTTGGCTTGATTCTTCTCATCCTTTATTCTCTGTGTTAATATGGTCATGCAGTCTGCTGAAACAGATAAGTTTGACATACTTCTTAAATCATTCTTAGAGTTGAACATGATTAAGGTTGTGCTATTTGTTGCAGAAATGTTCTTGTACCTGCTAACCTCTTTTTCTTTTCCTTCCTCTTTTCCAATTTGATATGAAGAAAGGCAAATAAAGTTCTAATGAGAGAAACTGTAGATGCCAAAAGGAAAATGTATTGAACACTGGATCTCGATAGCAGTCACAGTTTAGTAGCTTTTTCTCATTGTAGCATCCACTGAACTGCGGAGCAAAATATAGGCGACTCGCATGAGATGGAAAATAATTAAAGTGAATTATGAACATCAATAGTTACTTGTACACTGCCAAGTATAAGTTCACTTAAAGGAAGAAGAATGATGGACCCAAGAACAATTCCTCTCAAGCGTTTTGTGAAACTTTGTTTTTAGTGTGCATTTTTGCCAAATTGTTGACAGGTTGGGATACATTATTGCAAGGCCTATGCTCCTAACGACGATATCTGTATCATTGGCTAAGATATTGTGAAATATGAGGAAGGTTCTGGCCTTCTACTTTGAGCTTTTGTGATGGATAGGTTAACAGAGATTCTGACCTTTTATTTGAGCTTCTTTGATGGATTGATTAACAGAGACTATGATATATATAGGGAAAATGTAATTGTAAAAACATTCATAAATTGATAGAAATGCAACAGTTAAGTCCATTTGTCTGTCTTTATATTTGGTTAAGAGTTCATTTGGATGCATTTTGACTTGCAAGAAAAACTGTTTATTGTCTATTTCAGGTCACCCATGGGTCCGTGTAGGTGGAGTTGCTCCAGATAAGCCTCTTGATTCTGCTGTTCTTTCTCGTCTGAATCAATTTTCTGCAATGAATAAATTAAAGAAGATAGCAATCAGAGTAAGTTGTTTCAATTCTTGACACGTTTGATCACTGATCTTAGTGTAGTAGCAGTATTTCTTATTTTGACAATAGAGAATCTTGGGTAGAAACAATGTGAGAACTATATCTATTCTAAATTGGGAAGTGGAAAGGCTATCTTCCAGTATTTCTCCATTTCTCCTTAGTGATTTTAAAATGAGGAGCAGGAAAAGGATACCCTTGCATGTTACTGTTATCAACTATTACTAGGTTTTGTATTACTCCTCGAGGTAGTGGTAAGGTCTGCGTGCACTTTACCCTCCCAGACCCCACCCCACTTAGTGGGATTTCACTGGGTATGTTGCTGTTGCTGTTGTACTAGGTTTTGTATTATTATGCTTGACCAAGTACAGCTGTTTTGTTTAGGTTATTGCTGAAAATCTATCTGGAGAGGAAATTGCGGGATTAAAGCAAATGTTCAAAATGATAGACGCAGATAACAGTGGACATATTACGCTGGAGGAACTGAAAAAGGGTTTAGAAAAAGTTGGTTCCAAACTTAAGGATTCAGAAATAAACAGTTTAATGCAAGCGGTATGTAGAAGTTCCTTTTTCATTTTTGGTTTTGGTTTTGGTTTTTACTTTTTGTGTTCGATATCTTTCCTACTTGCTTTGACTCAGTACAACCTATTTTTTCTAAGACATACTCAAAACCAAATCCTAACAATCACAATTGTTTTCTGTTGATAAAAGCAAGACCAGAACAAAACAAAGCTGTTTCTTATTCAATGGCTGTAACATCAGAAATATTGATCTCTTAGTTGCATTCTCTAATGAAATTAGCAAAATCATACATATTAGTATTGAGTCAAGTACTCCAAACTTTTTATTAGAGGTCCAACAGCATATTACATATAAATCCCTTATGTGGTTGCTAAGACCAAAATAGAGAAAGACTCCTCTTACACAGAAGAGCTGTGCCCTTTGCCCATTAGGACCAGGTAACTGGTAATAGAAACAAGAGCCTCTACTGTGAATGTTTTAGAAACTTAGACTAAGAATACTACCAGAAAAGTCATGGTTGCTCGAAAGAAGCAAAGGCTTGATATTCTCTGTTTTGTTAAATCTTTGGACATATGTAGCCTTTGGGTTAGTTATGTGAGATGTTTCTGGCTTCTATCTTTCAGCTTCTTTGCTACAGTCTTTAAGTGGAACAATCATATCTCATTAACAATACACCATCAAGTCTGATCCTTATTAAATAGCCTTCTCCATGGAAAAATGCAGGCAGATATGGATAATAGTGGTACCATTGACTATGGCGAGTTTATCGCTGCTATGCTCCATCTAAACAAAGTCCAGAAGGAGGATCACATGTATGCCGCTTTTTCATATTTTGATCAAGATGGTAGTGGATATATCACACAAGAAGAGCTCCAACAGGCTTGTGAGAAGTTTGGTTTGAGCAATATTCCCATGGAAGAACTTATGCGTGAAGTTGATCAGGATAATGTATACTCGTCATTCTAATCAGAACTTTATTTCTAATATCATGAAAATACATAGGAAGCATGATTAATTGTTGGAACATAAATAAGAACATGACCATAGAATTGGAAATAAAGAATGATCAAACTTCAAACTAATCAGCTTCATATTCTTATTCTTTCTTCAGGATGGGCGCATTGACTACAATGAATTTGTAGCAATGATGCAGGATACTGGTTTTGGCAAGAATGGTAACAAGAGAGTGTGAGCATTGGCATCCCAGAAGCCTTAGAACCTAGTAAAACTTGATAACAATCCTACCATATTGGTTTTAGTATCATCATTACATAACATACACTTTTGTTTGCATATATCTGTAAAAATTACTGCTAATTCTTGTGTTCCATCTTATATAATCCTGCGCATCTTAATTTTAGGCTTGCTTGGCCCTTTGATCACAAAACTACTGCAGATACCGTGGAAGCAGATTAGAACCTGTGTTTCATTCACTCTTCAGTGTTTCTGCTTTGCATAAAAAATGCATTTTCTGCAGAAGTAATGCGTGAGTCCAAGTTCAATGCTATTCTTCTTACCTTTTGGCGTAGTCACAATATCAGTCCCGTGCCCTCGTTTCACCTTATTAGATGATTTTGATGTGTGTAGCATTCATTTTTTTGATGAAGTTTGATGTACACTACATTTTTTCTCTTGTTTAATAGTAACATTTTGAAGTGCCTTTTTCTCTTGTTAAAATTACATTACAGTAATGAGTAGTGGCTTCTCTCTTTTGATATATCATCAGTCTTGTGTTGTTATGTCATCCCCCTTCTCCTCAACTGCTACCTGAAAATGAATAAAAAAAAACAGTTTCTGCACTGCCATACCAGCCTTGGCAAAGATTTAAATTTTGAATCATTGTCTTCCAATTTCTGTTATTTTTAAAGCTTATTAGATCTCTTGCTGTTATCAGCGTTATATGAAGATCACAAGGGTCATAATATGACGAGAATGGACTTCTCCATAATGTAATAGAAATGTAGAGTTGAGTTGAAAACCAGATGAAAGACAAATTTGGAATGGTCATCACATCAGTATGAATCGAGCTTATTTTCCAGTGTAGAGATTTCTCTTCCCCAGGAGCAGTAGAATGATTAATACGCGACAACTTAAAACGAGTAATATCACAAAATTTAAACCAACTAAATGAACTGTTTATCCATTTTCGTCTTCCCGTGTTAATCATGTAGTTGGAATTATGCAAAAATAAACATCTTCAATCTCTTGCAGAGGATGTAATTTTTCATTTCTATGCTTACGCCATATCACTTGCTCTTCAATCTATAAACATTATATCACCTTCTGGCCAACATAAAGCACTCTTATGTGCCAAAAGAAGTGAAAGAGCAAAGCTTATTGCAAGCCTACATTATGCAACATCTTTTTCATAATTAAAAAAGGTATGAACAACAAATTTCCAAAAACATACATGATTCTATCTGCAACTCGTGCAAAGGATGCTGATAAACAAAGTAATTGATTGTAGATTATCCTTTCTATATCACTCCAGATAAGAAGATAATGTAACACAACAATAGTAGCAAATCTGCAAATCTGCAAATCTGAATGCTGCCAAAAGTAGTTAAAACCCAAACGTTCAAATGATCAAAAGGAGCAAATGTAACTGTTATATCAAGAAACTTATACAAGCTCGTCAAATTCAGGGTTGCAAGAGGTAAAGATAATTGCTATATGAAGGAGCTTGTGCATGCATTTGTTGACTGTAAACTTTCAGCTTGTGCATGCATTTGTTGACTGTAAACTTTCTTTTGAATTTTTTAGTTCTCTGAATCTCCTTCCACTAAATTAATTTGAGGATGACTAAGAGATGGGCTGAGAATTGTACGTGGTTTTTGCACTGGGACAAGAGTCATCACACCATATCTAGCAACTACAGCAAAAAATGTAATTTACAGACCGAGCCTCTTAGGTCGTAAATAAGTAGTCGAGCCTTTCTTCAAACCAGGCATAGAAACCTGTTGCAGTTCTTTTGCTCTCTTTTCCTTCTCCTTCTCCTTGTTTCGTCTCTCAGCTTCAGCCTGTACTGTACGCAACTTCTCCATTTCTTCCTCCATGGCAGTTTTCTCCTCTTTCTGTTTCTTTTTATGTTCCAGCATTGATGTATCAGAATCTTTCACGGAGAAAAACATGGGCCCCAGTTCAGCCAACCAGTGAGGCTCCACAGCTGTCACACACTGCATGTACTCCTTTGATGTCAAGATAAGCTCATGATAAACCACGTTATCAGGAGTGTAACCCAATCCATAGAGAGCACTAGTGGGATGAAGGTGGCAAGGCATTCCATTCCTGCAATTAACATATTCCCCAACTCCTTTCAGCCTAGCTGCATTATGGAAGTAGGCAGAGCAGATGGCTTTCCTTACAACATCCCAATCAGGACCACAGGAAGTGAGTGGAATTTTAAGTGTCTTGAGGATATCCAGCAATTGAGACCTTACTTCCCTAGCCTTGCGCAGACCTTTGACCTGTAAAAAGTGGTCATTACACCAGTCCCCCCTGTATTGATTAGCTTTCCATTGCTGGTAAACATTAAGCAGTGTAAGGTGATCAGATTCTGGCACAAAAAACTTTTCCCTAGCGGCATCACTTTCCTCAGCCCTATCCTTGGGTCTAAAGAAAACTGAAGGCACTGAAAGCATAGAAACAATAGTCAGAACCTCATTTAAGCAGTCTAGTTGTTCTCCCATCAAGAGCATTTTGGCAAGGGGAGGATCCAATGGGAACTCCACCATTTTCCAGCCAAGGCTTGTTAAATCCCCAACATTGTTAAGTGCACCTAATACCCACAACTGATACATGGAGTTAAGGATGTTATCCTGAGGAGGTGGGTCCATAAAATCAAAATCCAACAGGTTCTGAATTTTGAGAGACTTGAGCAGCAAAACCACATTCCCAAGATTTGTCCGTTGAATCTCTGGCACGGGGCTTTGCAGCATTTCATTCTCATACGCATTCTCAGTATAAAGCCGGTAACAAGTTCCTGGGCCAGTTCTACCAGCTCGACCAGCACGCTGGTCAGCTGCAGCTCGACTAATAGGGAACACTTGCAGAGCATCCATACCCATACGAGGATTGTACACCTTCATTTTACCATAGCCTGTATCAATGACGTAGTAAATTCCATCGACAGTCAAGGATGTTTCAGCAATATTAGTAGCAACAATGCATTTTCGAGCCCCGTCTTCAGCTTTCTGGAATATTTTTGCTTGCAAATCAGCGGGCAGTTGAGAGTATATAGGAAGAATCAATAGATTGGGCACTGCTTGCTTTGCTGACGAGGTAAGCTGTTCCATGCGCTCTGAAAGTGCATAACAGGTAGCTTCAATCTCATCCTGACCAGTCATGAAGATGAGTATATCACCCGGTGCACTAGTAATATGGATGGTCATGGCTTGCTTAACTGCAGCTTCGACATAATCTTCGCATGGGGTTTTACTATACAATTTATTAACTGGAAAGGTTCTTCCAGGTATGTGAAATATTGGTACGCTGCAATAAAGAGACACGGGGTTATGTGAAGTGGAAAGTTGATGGAAAGCCAACACATACAATATCCTTGTCCAGCTATCCAATAAAAAAACCTACCTCCCAAAAAAGTTAGAGAACTTCTGGGCATTCAGAGTGGCAGAAGTGACAATAAGCTTAAAATCACGTCGCCTAGCCACAACCTTCTTAAGAATGCCAAAAAGGACATCAGTGTTAAGTGATCTCTCATGGGCCTCATCCATTACAATTACACTGCGAAAAAGAGATATTTGAGTGACTGCACTACATAAAGAAAGCAGAAAGTTGACGTTCCAGGAAATCAAATATAAAAGCTTATGAAAGCAAATAAAGAGTGGGACAATACCGATATTTTTCAAGATCAGGATCTTTGAGTGTTTCCCTTAGAAGAACACCATCAGTCATGTACTGCACAAGGAAATATACATATATAAGCTTACACCAACTTATAAGTGAACCAAGGTACTCACCTTGAAATCTTCCAATTGCATAAATTACATAAAATACAATTACGAGGTGCGAGTAGACTCATCTCTCATATGGTCAAAAGACTCACCTTGATAACAGTACTTGGCCCAGTGACATCTTCAAAACGAATGGCATATCCAACTTTATCACCAAGCTCAGTTTCCATTTCTTCACTGACTCTTTTTGCAACACTCATGGCTGCCACACGCCTGGGTTGGGTGCAACCAACAATCCCATTACTTGTATAGCCATCTTCATGAAGGTACTGCATGCAATTACAGACACACATACAAATAAGACCCAGGACCGTATAAAAGATTCAACAGATTCCAGTTAAGATTTAAAAAGATGATTTAGAAAAAGAAAACACTAGTCTAAGCCAACCTGAGTTAGCTGTGTTGTCTTTCCAGAACCAGTTTCTCCAACAACAACCACCACCTGGTTTTCGCGAACCACCTGTTCCCAAAAAGAAAAAACCAAAAAAATCATTCAATGAAGAAATACAGCGGCGCCAAAGGGTATGACTAGGACCGGCAAACGAACGGGTCGAGTTGAATATGAGTTAAATAAAAATGGGTAAAATATTCGACTCAACTCATATTTTAAATGGGTAAAGCGAGTTACCCAATGGATAATATGGGTATCCATATTTACCCATATTATTATAGGGATCATGTTAAAAGCTTTAAAAGCAAAATCTCTAACCTCACTCTTCACCCCCCGCACCCCCACCCCACAGCCCAATGCCTCAATTTTTATTTTTTTTTAAATTTGTTCTTAAAAAAAATAAATTTATTTTTTACTACGTTGCACCCCCCCTCCCCACCACTACCCCACCCCCTCCCAAAAAAAATATTGATTTTTTCCTTATCCCTATCCCGACCACCTACACCTTAAAAAAAATATTAATGTCACTCTTCATTCTTTTATAAATGGGTCCCTTTTATCCATTTAACTACCCAATTTTAAATGGTTAATATGAGTTTGACTCGTTTTTTACCCATTTTAAATGAGTTGGGTACCCATGACCTGGGGATCAATGAAGTGGGTTGAGAACCATGAGATCTTAGGTTCAAAAGCCAGCGGAGACAAAACACTAGGTGGTTTCCTATTCATTCAAGCTTTAGTGGATAGAGTACTCAGTACTTGTGTTGGTAGGAGGTAGCAAGCACCCCATGGAATTAGATGGCCTGGACACCATGGTTATAAAAAAAAAAAACATAAAGAGTGAACTTTGTTTTTCAGAAGTAAAATATTTGGTGAATTTATCTCAAGGGAAAAGACATCAATAGACTTTAAGAAAGCAGCTTAGCATCTAATTTGTATGCAGTGCTCCAAGTCCTAATTACGGAACCTCAGGTCAATTTTACCATTTAACTAATTCCCAATGAAGTTCAAAGTAAAAGTTTCTAGGTATGTGTTAAGGTGGATAACAGGTACAGTAAATCAGTTTTGATTAGGTTTTCATACCTCGCAGTATGTGGCACCTACATGTCTTCACAGACATGAAAAGCCAATCAGCAGGTACAGTAACTCATCATTCAATAAACTCCACAGAGTATCAGAATGAGAAAATAGGTCAAACCTGCAATAAATCATCTCGCACAGAGAAGATGGGCAGATACTGCCTTTGCTGTGAAAGTGTTTTTGATAATGCAAAATCACTGACAGCTTCCCCTTTCTTTAAGTGCTGTGAGAATCTAGCTTCTCCTTTAAAATCCACCTCACCATCCTCGCCCACTGTAGCAGTATCCGCATCAACCTAGCATAAGGTGAAAGGGAATGCCAGATTATATCGTCTACAACCTGCAACACACCAGATTAACACAGTATGTTCAATTTCATGGAAACATAAGGTACCTGCTCTGCACTCTTCTCCACACCAAGGATATCTCCGAGTTTTGAACCAGCCAGCTCCCAAAATCTTTGACGAGACTTGTGCATGTTTTGTTTTTCACGTATTTCCCGAACTAGAGCTGAACCTTTACGTGAAATTATGGCCATATCTGACGTTGGGTCCTTTATTGGCATTATCGGCTCAGCTTGCTTGGTGAAAACAATTCTTCCATCCAAAAAGGGAGGCTTTGTATCTGTCCCAACAAATGGTAAGATATCCAAACAAAAAATACAGCAAACATTTTTGAGAAGCCAGAATAAATTTGTCCGCTGAGGTGTATCATAGAGATGTACCGTGAACAAGAAGAATAACCTTCCGTTCATCCTCATCATCAAACTCTGTCTGCACCTCGGTACCTCTAACAGCTCCAGATCTCAAAAGCTGGCGGTCCTCCCATTGAGCATTGTCTGCAGTGAGCTGTGATAACCTTTTACTTTGAGCAAGTGACATCTTGCTTCCATCTCTACGAACCTGTTACAAGTGGCAGGCAGGGAAAGAGAGAAGGTGACGTCAATGACAGACCATAAATGCATTGCATTAGTGTTCATTATATATAAACAATCCTTAACTACACAGTATAGTTACATTTGATCAGTGTTATTAAAAGCGAAAAGCGCAAAAAAGCTCTAAGGTCCATGGGGGCTTTAAGCGCAAAGTGCAAATAAAGCGTGGGCTTTAATGAAAAAAGGCGCAAAGGGAGAAAAAAATAAAATGTGTATGTTTAGTCCAAAACTAATAATTATAAACAAGAATGACAAATATATGACCAAAGAAATTGAATTTTTTTAATGATAAAGTGAAATATCAATTGTTTAGTGTCGCTTCTTCATAAGAGGCTCATTGACAAGGAAAAGTTTGTCTTAGAACTTTGATGACGGCACTGAAGCGCACATAAAGCGAGGCGAAGCGCTTAACACGTTTTGAGCCTCGCTTTAGGGCTTAAGCGCGCTTAAAGCGCGCCTTTGATAACACTGCATTTGATAGACTACAGAAGTTCTTGATATTATGCTAACCCACATAGAACAGACTATCTCATCAGGAAAGGTCCAAGAAGTTCTTGATGTTAAATTAAAAATGATATCCTGACTTAGCCAGTAAATCTCTGTGTTCTCTCCCCAATAGTCATTTTAGCTCAGATTCTAAGAAGAACCAGCTCATCAGCTAAAAATGACAAAACTATTTTGATCTCGCAATTCCCTATAATTTCCTGAATTTCATACCAAGTTTCAAAGCTTTGTAACCAAAAACAACATGTTCTAATTTAAATGCCTCTCAGATGTAAAATTCATTCTTCTTTAATCGAAAGCAACAATGTTATGCAGATGGTGGCACCAAAGAGGTGCAAAATCGAGATACATCTGGATGTAAAAGAAAGAAAAATACAGCACTTTCAGTTTAGGGTCAAAAGGATAATATCTGTGCAAGGTCTTTCATCCCTTTTCTGTTCAAACGTCTTTGTGACCTCTCAGATGTTCATCAATGGTCTAAAATAGGATGATACAAAATACATATCTAAAAGAGACAGCAGGTCTACACAAAGGGAATTCAATCAGTAGGTAAAGCACATTGTCTGACACAATCACAATAGTGAGAAAAACATGCTCACGCATCAAACGGCACGTGCCCTCTAGTTCCCTTTGCACCAGAGAATTATATAAATTCATCTCATTCTCATCATTAGTTATTGATGATAGAGGGATCGCAAAGCAGAAAACATAAATCCATAATGCCTCATTGAAATACAGCAAGCTATGACACATAAGATTGTTATGCAGACAGTGACACGAATTGTCAAGCGCAAGCTAAACCCCTAACCATCAAGTAAATTTTCTAATCAGCTTAAAGCACCAGTCATTCATATTGCTACAACTTCCACTGAGTCCCAGTAACATCCGAGAGTTTGCTAGTTCTCCCACAAACATATAAATGCGAACATCTGCCAAAATTGTGATTTAAGGATTTTGTACCCTCTGTGCTTACCAGTTTTTTGGCCAATTCCACCTCTTTCTTCTGGAAAGATGCCTCATCACCTAGAAATGCTGATGAACCATCCCCCTCAAACACTGTACTACCTTCTTCGCGGTCATACCTGCATAATGCAAGTGATTATTGGCTCTACCAAATATAACAAAACTGATTACTAGAAAGAGAAAAAAATACATAGTAAGCACATATAACTTTCTGAGAGAGGGGTCATAAGACTTCATAATACTGTAGATACTATAAAATGGCAAGACAATTACCAGGCACGATCTGAATTATACTCCATCTCTAAACGCATACTTTCAGTAATCTCTTCATTCTGATCTTCAGAGGCACCATTTGTGTCATCTCCTCCGTCCTAGAAGGAAGTAACGCACAGGTGAAAAAAATCCTTCTTTTAATATTCCAATTAAGGCCCCACGCCCATAAACAAAAAAAAAAACTAAGGAAGATGGAACTTTGAGTATAAAGCAGTACCTCAGACAGAGCACCTCCTGTAGAAGACATAATCAAACTGGATTTTGCACCATATCTGGAACTTGAAGATCTTACAGATGACCCAGATGCCCTTATTGGAGTTGGAGAAGGAGCCACACTGTCCCACGGAGAAGCAGATCCTGCAGGTATGAAGGTTTCTCATTAATGATGCGCTGACCATATTTTTACAAAACAATGCTAGTGTTAGAATTCACAAACACCATACCAGCAGAATGAGGAGTATGATCCCCGAGCCATGGGGAAACAAGTCGAGAATCAGGTGAAGCACCAAGAAACTTTGGTGATGGTGAAGGCTCATAACGCCTGCTACTACTACTGGAACGACTTTCACGACGAGGGGTATCTTGCCACTCCCATCTACCATCATCCCATTCCGATCTTCCTTGAAAGATTACACAATTTGCCAGATCAATTCAAATGCTTTAAGAAATGTCACAAAATTAAAGTAGCCATTGACTAACCCAACAGTCCCCAATTATAACATGCTCATTCCTATTCTATATGTTGATTCAGATGATTTTAGAACCACCTGCTCTAAAAGAAAGATGTAGTGTACATGCATGCAAAATTCAAGACACTTTTTTGGACTCAGATATGTTCATTTGAGTGAACAGTAATTGACACCATTGCAACTCCATCAAGCACCAGCACGAGAATAGGTACATCGTGACATATACATTTTAGTGCACACACTGACATGTTTACATGCTACCTACTTGTTTTTCATTTGGAAAATCAGAACCAAAAATACCAGGCATTGACAAATGAAGATGTAATGTTTACCAGGAGTCCTCCTGAAACCATCATATCTACTTCTTTTTCTTCCGTCATCCCCATCATATTCTCTTTCATAACCACGTGATGAATCCCTATAGTGGTGCTCTTCCCTGCTGGTTCTTCTATCTCTCCTTCTCCCTTCCCTGCTTTCACTTCTGTAATTATCCCTGTATTTACTTCCATCTCTTTCACGGTCAACTGACTCGCCCCTAGATATCATAGAACGTAAACTCCCAGAAGATGCAGCCGGAACCTTGAACCAGAAATGAAGCAACAGGTTGAGTTCGTTACAGAACACAATAGTCCATCCACTTAAGGCAAGAAACTAAAGCATCTGATGGAATTTACCAGTAAACACTAAAGAAGCAGGACACATGCACTGAGGAATGAGTTTCCAACAAGTCATACAGAGATTTCAGACCCAAAATCTCAAGCAGGAGAACCTGACTAACTTTAATGGAAACGAGAGGAACAGAAGAAGAGTAAAACAGCGAAACGAACTTCAAATGACTCAATCAGTAACATTACAGCTTCATCTTGCATACGAGACGCTCTGATGAAACTCAATGCTGTACTTTATTAATAAATTCTTCATCGAAAAGAATGGTTGGTAATTTGCAACCATTTACCTCTATGCATTTGTTATTTCATTATATTGAACTACAAAGATGGATGACCTATAAATGTGCATTCATATGTATTTTGTAAAATAGCTTTGGGCAAATTTATGATATGTAAAAAAAGGACAATTTTATACTACTTCGATAATTAACAATAATATTCCACTGTACTGAAGAGGGACAATGTATTCAGATTTGCTTCATAGTAAGTCAGCGTATTGCTGAATATCAAGCTTAGACTCCAGCTAATAAAGGTACCAGCTCCTCAAAGTTTCCCTATATTGGTCAAAACTGAAACACACAAAAAAAGGAAGGGAATCTACAATCAAGCTTAGACTCCAGCTAGTTATGGTACCAGCTCCTCAAAGTTTCTAGTTCAGAATGTAGCCTTCTATCATCTCACTGAAGTTGTTCTTCTCGATGCAATATGCAAAGACATCAAACGGTAAGAGGAAGAATTAAACCCCACAGAACTCCTCTCTCTATATTGGTCAAAAAATTGAAACACACAAAAAAAGATAGGAATCTAGAAACTTCTAAGATTCACTGAAGGTACTATAGAAAAAGCAATTCAACAATATCAAGCTTCAAAACTTATAGAAAATAACATAGAAATATGTCAAAGCAAGAGTACTAATAAGCAATGTACCTCTGTGTTCTCATTCAAGTGAGGAGGCCTCACGACTGTCTCAGCATCTTCCCGTTCATAGGTTACTGCACTACCTAGAAAATAAAGGTTGATTAATTACCAATTTCCTAGCTTAATCATAAGAGTAGATTGATATTGTGGTTGAGTGTAATTGATTGTATAATATTGCCTTATTTAGTCCTAGGACTCATTGTATAAGTACCCATACTCATGGATTGTAAATTCATCAAAAAATACAAAGAAACTTTTTCTTCTTGACATCTTCATGGTATCAGAGTTGTTGCTGCCTTTGGAGGTAAGTCTTCTCCCTCATAGCACTGCAGCACTAGGGTTCTTTTTTTTCACAAGAAGAGGTTGAGTTTTCTCATCACATAAACCTGTCCGCGTCTAAATAATTATCTATTAGTGCTATAGAAAAACTAACACTACCACAAGGTACGGCGAGCAGACCCCAACCAGACGCTGCAGGAAACCACCTCCGACGCATCATCATGCACCACTAGAACTTCCGACACCGGCAACGCATCACTCTTTCCAGCAACTTCTTCTAAAAAATTATTTTTTCTGTTGAGGTCGCCAGCACATTCAAAGCATACCATAATCTCCTAAAGACCTACTACTTTGTTGGAATAAAAGAGGACAGCGGAAAAGAAGATAAAAAGGAACACTATACCGGCACTATATGGTGGACTGTGATGAAGGAGAGAAATCAAAGATACTTTGCAGGCAAAAAGGAAATATTTGTACCTTTAAGAATAGATGTTTAGCTCACTTGATCCTTTGGTGTAAAAATGAAAATGCGCAAGATATAAAGAGGATGGTTAATTTCTTAGTTCTTTTCATATGTAGCAGTGTAGTAAGATGCAGACTGAAGGGGTTATACTACTCATACATTGAGTTAAAATGCAGGCAGCAGAGACCAACAAATATCACAAGTAATCACAACATCAGAGTTTTTTTTGATGAAGTTGGAGTTGACTAAACTAATGAATCCTCTAATGTAAAAAGAAAAAAGTGTTAAGAAACTGGTACCTGAAACAGATGTCTCACTAGCATAAGATTCACGATACCTCCTCTGTACATTATTCCGTGAAACATTAGATGCAGTATGTCCCAACTCATCAATTCCAGAAGCAGCAGATGACTCTTCATCCTCATCTAAAGATGACGCAAATGAAGCAAGTTTCTCCCTTGGAACTTTAAATTCACTCTCTACAGTAGCCCCTCCCCTTTTAGCAATCGCCAAGGCATCAAGCCCTATCCAATTGTGAAAAGTTGATAAAGATATAAATCACTAAACAATTTCATTTTATCACACACTTATCGAGAAGGGGGCATAGTCAAAGTTTATAACTCAATATGGCAATGGACCTAATACATGTGTTTAGTCTAAGCACATAATTTGAAAAGAAGCAGATGAAACTATTACAATATAGTGTTCTTAATTCTTATACTACTCGTTTCTTGAAAGAAATCTTAGTACCTGCATGTCTCATATGTCACCTAACAAAGAAAAGATTCAGATAGACCTAAATAATTATTTTCCAAGAACTTTCTCATGATGAGTTTAAATGAAGTAACATGGTCACTGAGGAGTCACATAGCCAGCCCCAACTTATTTGGGACTGAGGCTAGTTGTTGCTGTTCTCATGGAAAAGCATACTTCTTGCAAGAAGAAGGAACTTGTATCTAATTTTTACTCGATTAAAAAAGGAATGTCTATATAAAGCTTTTGAATACTATACAAACAATTAATCTAGGATACAAGCACATTCTGTACAAGAACCCAACATACAAATAATGGAAATCCTGTAAATGGCTTATGTTCAGGGTGGGGCCTCCGAGAATCCAAGGCTTGAAAAAAAATATGTGTAGGTATGCAGATATAAACAAATTAAGGAAGTGTGGAAGGATGATGCACATCACAATCATTGTATATGAGGTGTCACAAGGTGCAGCCTCATTTACTTCTTTCTTGTTATTTCAGTGCAAAATTCTGATTCATTTTTTCCGCAAAATTATTAAGGTCATTCTATTCCCTTTTTATATAGGTTTGTCACGTTACGGCCTTGTCCCTTTTCAGCTACCCAAAAGAAGTAGCAATTTTTTGAAAAGAAAATCTATCATTGATAGATAGAGAGAGAGGTTGATAATCTAAGGTCATAAGATAGCATGGATCATATTTCCTCGTTAGTCTGCAGATGGTCCTTCAATTTGTTAGAGAGAGAAAGGAATGGGCAGTATGTTTACATACTAGTTAGGAGTCATCCTAGTTAAGTTTGTGTGTTTTCTCAGATAAATATGTAAAGCATCAAAAGAATAAACTTGTTTTCATATAAAGATCAAATTTTTGTGATGTTGAACTATTCGACAAACAGAAATTATGCAATATTTCTATTATATTATATAAAACCATAGATGGAAATAAATAAAGTGCCAAAACCACAAAGATATGGGTCAATCAATCATACCTAGAAGTGATTTCCGTTCTGAAGGTTTAAAAACTACTCTCTCTTTCCCAGGAACAAAAAGACCCCCACTGCTCGTCTTATCAGGTTCCAATGTCGTTGTTGTCTTGTCCAGATCAATTGGTCCAGCATCTCCTTTCTTTTAGAAAATTTAAAAAAAAAAGAAGAATTGTATAAGGTATTTTTGTGGCTTGAAAAAAGTTTATAAAAACACAGAATAACATATACACTCACCTGCATGTTCCCTTTGAGGAGGAGTAGCAACTCTTAATAAGATAAACTTGCACTCACTGCAAGGGCAGTTCAACCCTATAGCAATCAAAGCAGTGATTTTAGACCGCAAAACCTCAAAGTTACAAATCCCCGAAAGAACCAAAAAGCCCCAAATTTAGTTCAAACGAAGACGGCAAATCGCACAGAAAAGAGATAAAATCGGCAGGTTAAACGAAGAAACACAAGTCGAGATCAACCCAAAAGATGAAGAAGATACATACATACATGGGAAGAGATAAAAAAAAAAGACAAACCAAAGAAATCTGATGAAGGCCAAGTTCTTGCCCTTGCACTAATTAAATTAAAAATATAAGTAGAATATAAATAATTAAATTATGTATTTATTATTAGTAGTATTAATTGATTTTTCTTTAATAGTTTGTTGGCTATCTCTATAAAAAAAAACATCATCAACGGTGAAAAATAGTCATTCTCCCCTCCCCTTTTCCTAATCAACTTTTTTGACATCTTGTTTGGAGGGTTGTTATCTGTTATATTGTATTGTATTGTTAGTTTTAAATATAATATTTGTTTTGATTGTTATTTAAATTTTATTGTATAGATTTATCATTTAAATTATGAATATGTGATATTATGTAATGACAGATAACGATACAATATATCCAAATATTATATTCATTAACACAATTTAATATATTATGAAACAATATGTACTTATCATCTAAACAAAGTGTAAATGTTCATTCTATCCTTGTATTAACAAATGTAATTCTTTTTTTTCTCTATTTACTTCTTTAGTGAGTTCTATTTCATATTAATATCTAAATACTTCTTATCATAATTTTGTGACTGATTCACAATATAACAAAATAGGATTCACGGTCTCACCATCCTGCTTATATATACCAATTTAAGCAAATAATCTTTTCTCTTCTTAGATTCTCCGCCTTTCTATTTTATATTTATATGTGCATTAATTAATTAACAATTTCAACTTTAAACTACTAAGAAAAAGTGTGATGAATAAATTTTTAATATGAAAAAATATTTTTGGCCAGAATGATAACTTTACTTTTAAAATATTTTTACCCTTTTTAACTTTAATGCATTCTAACTAAAAAGTGGAAAAAAATCAGTTTATTTTTAAATTAAAAAAATATTATAGTTTCCAAATTTTCTGATCATTTATCACTTCCATAATGCACGTAAATTCATGGTATTTTCACAAAACTAAAACTACATTATTTAATGCTGAGTACCTAGTAATCAGTCAATTGGTTTACAAAACTCTGTGTCTGACCAAACAGAGGACAAAAGAGGTTGCATGTTCAGCCTTCAGGTGTAACTGAAGCTCATAAATAAAGCCAGAAACTTTACAAGAAAAAGGGGGTCAGTGGTAAATTGCACACCACTGTAGTAGATAAAACCAAGGGCAGATTTTATTTTATTTTTATTTCTTCTCTGGTAATGGTATTGGATATCCATTTTTATACATAGAATTTTGGGTCTTCGAATATTAATATATTAATAGTACTCTCTGTATGGATTGAGTTTCAGTTTTTGGGTTTTTGTTCTCTTATAGTGAATGTTGCTGCATGCAAGCTAATGGATTCTGACTGATTCTTCCATTTCTCAGTTTAATGGTATGGTATGGTATGATCTTCTCTACCATTGATCTGTTTTCCCCCTTTTTTTATATGTTGCTGTTTCTTTGAATCTCTGTTGCATGGCTTTTATGATATATAAATGGTTTTGATTCTTTTTCATTTTTGCTCTTTTCTGTTTTGTGTGGGATTCTCGTTGAACAAATGTGAATCATTGGGCTTTGCACATTTTCAAGATTACAACTTTACTTTCTTTTCTGTGGTAAATAAAAAAAAAGGGGTTTGAAATTGATTTCTGGATTGGCTGATGTTGCTAGTTGTGAATCACAGGGCTTTGTACATTTTCAAGATTAGGACTTTAGATTTCAGTGTGGTGAATAGAGGGGTTTTCTGGATTGGTTGATTGGGCTTTGTGCATTTCAAGATTAGGACTTTAGTTTTTGGTGAGGTGAATTAAGGGTTTTAGGAGCTGATATCCGTATTGGTTGATTGATCAGTTGAGAACGTGGACATATTGATAGTGGTGAATGGTAATACAAGGGATGGGATCTCAGGGGGGAGGTGAAGCAAAGGCAAATGCTTTAGCTACGCAAGGATCACTCTACAGCCTCACTCTTGATGAAGTTCGGAATCAATTGGGGAATTGTGGGAAACCACTCAATAGCATGAACCTCGACGAGTTTGTTAAAACTGTATGGACTATCGAGTCTAATCAAGAAGTGGTGGGGGGAAATGATTACGGGGCAGTGCAGCACGGGGCTTCTCAGCATCGTCCATCGAGCATTACAATGTCCAGGGATCTCAGCAAGAAGACTGTCGATGAGGTGTGGCAAGATATTCAGCAGGGGGTAAAAACAGATAATGTTGATAAGAGAAGCCAGGAGAGGCAACTTACTTTAGGTGAGATAACTCTGGAGGATTTCTTGGTCAAGGCTGGAGTGATTGCAGAGTCGACCCAAGGCAAGAGAATTTCGGGTTTAGTATTTGGGGTTGACTCAATGTCATTGACACACCAAGCTCAGTGGCCGCACTATCAAATCCCCACAATGCAACAGGTACCAGAACAGCAGCATCAACAACAACAGCAGAATATACCACCAGTTTTTATGCCAGGCCATCCAATACAACAGCCTTTACCTGTTGTTGCTAACCCAATTATGGATGCAACTTATCCTGAAACTCAAGTGACAATGTCTCCAGCACATATAATGGGAACACTATCAGACACACAAACATCTGGAAGAAAGCGAGTTGCTCCACATGATGTGGCTGAAAATAGTGTAGAAAGGAGGCAGAAGAGAATGATTAAAAATAGGGAATCTGCAGCTCGGTCACGAGCAAGAAAGCAGGTACTTTTGCTTATTTTGCATTTTTTGTGATATAGTTTTTCATCTCTGCGCCAGTGAAATTTTACTCTTCTGACTAACAGGCGTACACCCATGAACTAGAGAACAAGGTTTCATTTCTTGAAGAGGAGAATGAAAAACTTAAGAGACAGAAGGTAGGATCTGCGAATCAAACAGTTGCACATTCTCTTTAGTTCCATGTTGGTTGTGATAATCAATCTTTCTCTGTGGAAGAAACTATAGCTGAATCTGGTCTATGAATGCTGTGACACGTACTTCTTTAAGTTCATTGGATAAATCTTTAATTGGACAAGATATTTTCCTTCACAATGAAACAACATGTTATTAATCATTTATGCGATCAGAAGGAAGTACAGTTGGTGATTCATGCCTTCTTTTGTTTCTTTTTCCCCTTAAGATGATTAATCAATTAGCAGAGCCTTTATATTAACAAGTGATTTGTTGTATCCTGATGAAAGTATGTCAAAGTTATTGTAGGTGTGAAAAAAGATCTCCATTAACTTCTAATAAATGTTCCGTTAAGTAATTATTTTATTGAATTGCCCATTAGCTATTTGAAATGATAGGAATGCCATTGAGAACAGGAGTAGACTAAAGAAGGTCTTTAACTATCTTCACTGTACTCCTTGATCATAATTTCCCATATGAATACTCTTTTCTTCTCTGTCATACAAACGGTTTTCTCATTCGCTTTTCTGTTTTATTTTGTTGTAGTCCATGAGTCTTTAAGCTACTTTTCTGTTTTATTTTGTTGTAGTCCATGAGGCTTTAAGCTACTTTTCTGTTTTATTTTGTTGTAGTCCATGAGGCATTAAGCTAATTTTCTGTTTTATTTTGTTGTAGTCCATGAGGCTTTAAGCTACTTTTCTGTTTAACAATATATCTAATGAGTGGGAAGAATCAGAAAGTAAAAGCACCTATAGATGCACATGGACAGGTGACACCTAGTAGTTCTCTAACTGCAAGACTGATATTTATCTGTGGAAGTGTTGACTAGGGAAAGCACTGTTGGCTGCTAAAAGATTCAGAAGGTTCTACTTTTTGCAGCCAACATATCCAACTACACTTGCCTATCAAAAAAAAGAAATATATGTCCAGCTACATTCTTAAGGATATGGTTCTAGATTGCAGTTATTGTTAGTTTCCTAACTATCGAGCTGTTTAAATCCTTGCTTCATTGCTCTTTTTCACAGAGATCTTTTTATTGCATACTCCTGTATATGTTCAACAAGGGGAGGAAACATCACTTAAAAGAAATCAGGGGCACAGATTGTGGGAGGGAGGGCTAGCAGGGACCTAATTAAGTGTGCTTTCCCATCGAGGGCATCAACATTTGCTTGGTCTCATAAGTAGAAGGGTGTGTTAAAATTTCTCTTTGGAGTTCAATATCAACCTCAATGCTTGGTCCCTAATAGACTCATTATTAGTTGCATAAACTTGTTAGATGTGTAGGTAAGACTTTTGCTTGTCCATGCCAACCTTTATTTTCTTTGTTCATTTGGATTGTGTTTACCCCTTCAAATGCTTTTGAAGAAATCACAAGCTCCGGACATGGCAAACCTCAAATGAAGTTTTTTTATACTCAGGGTTGTGTCTTGACAATTTTCAGTAGTTGCCTAGCTCCCTTCAGTTTTCACGAGTTAACTTAATTAAATATGGTTTTATCTACAGGAGATGGAGGATATTTTACCAAGTGTTCCACCTCCAGAGCCGAAGTATCAGCTCCGCAGAACAAGTTCAGGCCCTATCTGAATGGTGTTTTTTTAATGTCATTGAAAATTTCACCAGCTAGTAATGCTTTTTTCTCAACATCCTTGTTCAGGAGAATGACTTGGTAACTTCTTCGAGTGATTTCCAGTCGATGCGTACTCCCCCTAATATGTAGTGTATCCGTGTATGTAACGTTAACAGTTTGGACACTCAGAACATGGTTTTGGTAGTTTTTTTTTCACAGTTAACGATGTGTCTAGACAATGAGGACATATATAGTTTAGGGTCATCAGTTAGTAGATACAAAGGTCACAAAACAGCCTGGACTCGGTCTCTGTCTAAGAATCAAGCGACTCATTTTCTTCTTTCCCCCTTTTCCTTTTTGTGATTTGGTCTGCTTTTGATTCATCTAACTGAAAATGCTCGAATTCGTGCTGCTTTGCTGGATCAAACTTTGGATAGTTTTTCAAACTCTGAGATTTTAAAAATGGAATTTCCCTATTAGTGCATATTGCTTGACTCATAAATATTATAATCCGCCATCAATTTCCCTAACAAAAGCACACTTTATTATTATTTTCCAACTATTTAACCCGATT